TCCTGGAGGTGTCGTGGGACCAACTAGACGAAACACTGGTGAAAGGAGGTTCCCACCCGATGACCCCAAAGACATGTTAGTTATCACTGCTCACTGGTCTATAGTTAAGCCTTGCCATAATAGCTTATCATAGGGCTTAGGAGGTTTTTCACTGAGTGCTGATCCTTTCTCTAGACCACAAACTTCTTGTGTTTATTTAAAAAAATATATATACACTTTTGATTAATGCCAAAAAGTTCCATCCACTGTGACAGAATACTGCAGGAATACTAAAGGTTGTGGCTTCACTGCATTGTGAATGTAGTAAATTTACATTCATTCATCAGGGAGACAATCAGCTGACAGTGTGACTGTCATGTTAAGTTTGACATCAGTCTAAAACTGACACAATATGTTGCAGCAGCTCTAGTTCAGTCAGATTCCTTCAGTGTCTTGACTCTCTACACCTTGTGCAGATGACTGCTGCCTTATTAAGAAAGCAGCTGGTTATCCAAACACACCCCTACTGTCCACAAGCAGAGCTGCTCTGACGTCTGTTAACATGCTGCTGATGGTACTCTGCAGCATTGTTGAGTCATTAAGTATTCAGAAGCCTTCAACCAATGCAGCCCCACACTTGCGCAGGTCATTCATGTGTTGTACTCACCGGCTTGCACCGACATCAGTGAACCACAAGTGTAAAGGAACATTGACAGAGCAATGGTAAAAAGAAAGAAAAGAGGTCATCAAACATGACAGCCAATATCAGACATATAGATCAGCGGTTTGTAAGCGCAGCCATAATGCTGTGAATGCTATCACTACATGCTCAAAACCTCTGTGGAATCAAACTGTTTTTGTGTTATAAATGAAATGATAGTTAAAAGATTGCAAAATGTAATATATTTTGGAATGAATTTATACTGGAATGTAAAGCTATTGGCACCACTGAAGTGTCACTGAGCAAGGCACCCCCACACTGCTCAAGTAACACTATTTATTAGTTCACAAATTCTGGCAGCTGTAGTACAGGACGGGGGCTTAGTGTTAAAGTGTGTAAGTGACAAAGAGTAGAGCAGGGTGCTGCTGAGTAAAAAAACCTAACAAAACGGTGGCTGTATGCCTCAGCAAACCAGTTTCTCAAGTTTACATCCATGCTTCACTCCCATTGTCCCCCTAGCAGCACAGAAGATGTATACAATCAGGAAAGTGTCAAGGTGGGCAACCAAAATTAGATTCACCATTTCAGTATCTGACCAAATGTCTCCCCTTCTCCTATTAGACATTTGTGTTAAATGCTGTCATAATTAGCATATGAAATCTTGAGAAATGGCATAAAACATGTTTTGTGAGGTCACGGTGACCTTGACTTTTGACCTTCAACCAAAAACAAACAAAATCTATTCAGTTCTTTCTTGGGTCCAAGTGGACGTTTGTACCAAGTTTGGGGAAAACTCTCTCAAGGTCTTCTTGAGATATAAGAATGGGCATAAGAATGGCAAAACTGTAGATGGATTTTAGCGTACCTACCATACAGGCTTTATGACTCTCTTTTAATAGCACAATCACAATGACCAGCATTAAGTTCATGTGAGCAATGTCAATGCCATGACTCATTTCATACCATTTAAACAGCTGTGCAATCGCAGTGTGGTATGCGGAACACTGCTCACTGTGGTTTCTCACAGTTATTATTGCTGTCTGAGGTGCAGAATATAAAGGTGTGAACACAGCAACACACAGAAGATGGGAGTGTGTGAGATGAGCTGACAGGTGGATGTTTCAGTCTAGTCAGTGTACATGTATGTTCTGTGTGCTCTCTTAAGAAACCAAATGGTCTGCACAATAATCCCTTTCTGACTCTATGGTAAGATGAATCAACTACAGTTGTTTTTAAAATAAATTATGTATTACAAATTGTTTTTCAGGGCAAATAAAGCAGGTAGGGTTAAAAGAGGGGCATTTTCCTAAACATTTCCTAACAGTGATGTTGGGGGAGGCATGAATTTATATTGTCACATTTATCGTATTTTTATGAAATATTTAGTTCATTCATTTTTTTAATTCAATTTTATATTTATTGATTTTTATTTTATATTCGTTAATTATTATGTTGTCACCAAAAAAGGTAAAACAAATTTAAGAAACAGACACAAGAAAATCTACAGACAGAAGAGACACAGTGAGAGAATAAAACACACATTTGAAAGAACAAAACAGAAACACTAAATGGGTACAGATGCAGAGTTATGTATGCAAGTGAGAGAAATCCATGTCATATTTGTAGTGAATATCTGTGTGCATGTAAAATGATGTACTTGTTACTTGAATGTGTAAACATGCTCATGGGAATGTGTGAGGGAAAGATAAAAAGAGAGAGGGAACGAGAAGGTAGACAGGATAGGAAGAGAAGAAAGAAACAACATATTGACATATAGATGTGTACGACCGCGTACACATACTAATAATTGCAAATATAACACCAATAATAACTTCAACCAGGTCCACAAAAAAGTATTACTTTTTTCTTGTTTCCTCTACTTTCTTTCACCATCCTCCTGCCCCTCATTGTTTTTATTTATTTATTTTGTCCTTTTGGATTAATCTCTTATCTTTGCCCTGCTTCAAAGAGTAAGGTATCTGTGAGAGTCCTGGCTTTAGACCATGCCCTGACTCTTAGGAGGGGGCTGGTACAATGCAGGCCACGCCTGACAGCCTGTCCACTGTAACCCCTTTTCCACCAACAGGTTCTATAGTCTATAATTCTATTTCGGGTTTCCCACACCTAATTTTGAAACGTTCAGAGTAGGTCTGGGCAATATAACGACTGTACGATAAATTGATTCATTTTCAAGCCAGATATAGATTTAGACAATACCTTTTACTGTTTATATGTAGTAAAAGTATGTAGTATATGTAGTAGTAATACTGTTTATCAATACAGGGTTAGGTTGCATTAAATAATGCTGTTCTTCCAAAAAGCCATACCAGTGTGCACCTCTCCTCTCACAGTCTCCACATAGCTCCTCCCCACTCCCTCACTCACAAGTTCTCCAGCAACACTATGAGAGACACAGAGTTACTACTCTGTTTAATCCGTCTGTTAATTAGTCGACAGCGCTGCATCGGTCTGTATGTTGCATGTGCTACACCAAATCAGTCTGTAAGGTGAATGAAATGACCGCAGTAGCACACCTGCAGTACGGTGCTGCACTTCAGGTGTGGGAGACAGAGCTGCTTGATTGTGCCAGGTGAGCGTTTGCTTGCTAGTGTGTGTGTGAGGTGGATCATAGCGCATCGCCGTTCTTCTTGGTAGTTGTAGTCTATTGTGTGACATTGAGACGGTGCCTGGATGCAGGCGACAGATGGGTTTAAAAAATGCAGCGACAACACAGACATTTCATATATAAGACATATATAACGAGGAAAGAGTGTCTCTTGCTCCTTCCCTCTCTTGGCCTCTCTGTTGATGCTGTGTACATAAATAATATTAATTAAATAAATAAAAATATTTAAATCATTTTGCAACACTAGAATCATTTGAAAGGCCATGGAAAACCACTTTTTAACTCCCCCACAAAGATTTTTAATTGTTCAAAACTGCAATGAATTTTTGCCTTCTTGATACTTTTATACTCATGATATACTTTTGTGGCCTGTGCTTGAAACCTTTAAACTTCTGTAGCTCCATTGCTGTGTGCAAAAAGTTAGTGTACAGCGCTGCTATGTATTTGTATATCATTTTTATTTACATGTTGCAGCTGCATATTTTCAAACAGGGCAATAAAATCTGTCTTTGCATTTTATTTTGATTACAGTCTTTTTATAAAAGTGCTTGTGACATGTCAAATGTGGCTTTGACTTATTACTAACATGTACCCATTTTATTTAAAATACCTAGCTAAATATCACATATCGCCACAATTAGTTCAGAACCCAAAAAGTTGGTTCTCAGCTGCAACCAAAAAATAGCAGGTATTTCCTGACCTGAAATGCGACCTGTGATGACATCGGTGGGCTTGTCATATTCTACAGATTGGCAAAAGGAGGATGGAGAACGCAACAATAGAGAAGTCAAGTGAAAAATCATTGGGGAAAATAAGAGCATGAAGTGGTCTCATTAATAGTTGGTTCATGCTTTATTGGGGATTAAAACAAGCATCTGTAATGACACAACAAACGTCTGCAAGTAATAAATATAATATGCAATTTTGCTTCTCCTGTTTATATTTGGTGTGCATTGTGTAAGGCCTTGTGTTGGTGACATATCCTTGATAACAGTGGTTCTGAGCAAAACTGGTGGAAACATGGGCTGGCTCGCTAGATAGCACCAAGGTTTTAGGAATCCTGACCGCAACCAGTCAAAGAACCAGAGCTCATTTGATGGAAAAGGGGTTAGAGAGGAAAAGGTGTTATGACATTGTGTTCAGTTTCCTTCTTCTTTCTCTGCCTTTTTCAGGGGACCCAGCTCTCCCTCCATGCTGCTTTGCATCAGCAGGCCAATCTAGCAGATCCCCCAGAAGCCCATCAAGGACAGCTCTGACATCACAGTATACAAACTCTTTGAACATGTAGGTCCGTACAAACACTTCACCTGATTCTGCACAGATGTGTGTGTGTGTGTGTGTGTTTGAAGTCTGGCTGATATCATACTGAGCCTGTTTTTTTATGAAGAAAGTACACTACTATGGTGTTTTCATACTGACCATCCCAATTATCACTCTCCATTCACACTATGACCAAAAAACCAAGTGTTGTCTTATTACTCTAACTTCCTCTTCTGGAACATCTCTAACAGGAGGTGCCCAGGAGGCATACTGATCAGATGCCCGAACCAACTCAACTGGCACATTTCAATGCAAAGGAGCAGCGGCTCTACTCCAAGTTCTCTCCGGATGTCAGCGTTCCTTACGCTATATCTAAGGCTGAGCTCAGCCACCCTTTGTGGGAAACTCATTTTGGCTGCAAGTACAATATGTATGTGTTAGTGTGTATTTATGTATGTGGGTATGATGTCTTACCACCAGCACATGCTCCAGCAGTCCCAGATATCCAGTGGCACATTCGTTTCCATAGCGCAGAGCTCTCATCTGAACCTCATTGCTGACCTCTGGGTGGTATGCAGCTTGCTGAGAGAGCAAACAGACAGAAATCAGCATCTGAACCAAACAATGACAATCCAGACAGTAGGCAATTCTGTATGTTAAATTGCAATGCTTCTAAAGAGGAGACAATTTGGTCTTCCATAAGAAAGTTGCCATTAGTGACAAGCTGAGGAGAAACCTTACCAACCTGACTGATACTTGATAACATTATACCAAAGTTACTCTGTACCAAAGATGGGAGATAAGTTAAAAACAAAAACAAAACTAAAGTAATGTAAAATTACTTGTAAAAATTAGTGCGTTGGTATATTAATTCAGAAACAGCTATACTTTTTCAGGGGAACAACAGATATACCATGATTAAAATTATGTATTGATTAAGAATAAAAATATGATCAAATTCAGATAATATCTAATTACAAAGATATGGTTTGAGAAAATACATATTGATATAATGAGTGTGCCTGAGTGTGATTTAATATATCTTGTCCCATCTCCCTCTGAATATTCTTTGGGGCAACTCATAACATTGTACAGGAATAAATAAACTAGAATTATCGCCTTGCACTTGAATGCCTCTGCAAATCAGTAAAGCTGCGGTTACAGTTTTCATCCATGTCTGTGAAAACATGGATTCCTCTTCACACACACCCAAGATTGGAGTCACCAATTAAGTATCTGACCAAATATTTCCCCCGTCTGTTCTGATGTCACAGTAAAGCAGACCTTGACCTTTTGGATAAAAATGTCATAACATCATTTTATCCTGTAAGACCATTTTGTTAAATTGTGTCATAATTAGCATATGAATTCTTGAGTTATGGCCTAAACATGTTTTGTGAGGTCACAGTACCCTTGAAATTGTAATCACTTAATTATTAAATCCAAGTGGACAGTTGTTCCAAATTTGAAGAAATTTCCTTATGGTGTTCTTGAGATATCGCACTCATAAGACTGGGACGGACGTAGAAACATTATGCGTCCAGCCATTGCTATCACCAGCACGGAGGTACTCAGTTCAATTCAATTCAGTATCGTCATTCTTTATATACAGTAGCATACAGTAAATAAAAAGTGGTTTCTCACGAATCCAGGAGCAGTAAAAAGCACATAGCAAACATGCCATTCAACGTGGACAGGACAACCATAAAGTGCAATAAGTGCATTGTGAATATTTATAAGAATAAAAATAGGTAAGTACAGAAGAATAAATATTGAATAGTAATGAACTGATAAAACTCCATAACACGCTTACTACAAGCTTATACATAGAAGGGGTGACTCTCTGTTCCTAATTTTAAATGTTGTTATGCCTGGTACACACTACACAACATTTCTGTCCGTTCTGAAAGTCACTATGTCAGATTACGCGATTGTGGAGTTGTAAAATCGTGCTGTGTCTTGACCGACAGACATGACACACTACACGATGGTCCATACCAATCATCCCCGGTCTACTTTTACGACGTGTGTGATGTCATCGGGTTATTCTTGTCCTATTTTTATTACTTTTACCATGATTTGTGTCTGTTCATGTGCCAGCCGAAATGTTGTTGTAGTAATATTAAAAAGCGCCAGCAGATGGCAGGAGCTACATTTTAAGTACCGTACGCAAACATACAAGTCACTGTATCCTCCACAACAAGTTCCTGCAAATGTTTCACAGTACAAGCCTGTTTAGAAAATGAAGGGATTCTTTCAGCCTAAGTTATAAGGGGCTTTTAATTTGAAACAGATACAGGAAATGTTGAGTTTGAAATGACGGTGTGAATCATTAACTTTATCAAGTCAAACGGGAGCAGATAAAAAGTAAAAATATAAAAATACAGAGGGAATAATTAATAATGGCCCAGTTATAATCTAGTCTATTTCAAATGAAGCTGGTAGCCTCTGCAGCTGTGGTGAGTATAAGCCTCACCACTATTTTTTAACCTTATTCCTTTATATCCTCCATTATGAAGAAATAACATTGTTTGCTAGTTTGATGCTAATGGCAGTACTCACCAGGTTGATAAAGTGGCTCTGCTGTTTAACGCCATCATTTTTCCCTTTTTACTCTGTGGTAACATGCCTAGAGGATGGGATGTTGTTGCCGTTCAGTTGTCTATGGCAGGAGACTGCTCTGTGTTCCTACTGGTCAAAGTGACAGCTGTGACGGGAGAAGTCGTGAACGACAAAAAGAAAATCAAACATACTAGACTTTCTGTCGGAATGTCGTGAGGTGTCCCAGACATGGCGTCGGTTCTCTTTAACTATGACTTACTACACGAGATGAAATGATGGATTATTATGTACGACACTCTTTGTCGTTCACGATCTATGCCGACACTGTACGTCACTACGTCGGGCTGAGCTTTCAATGTAAGGGATATAAGAACATGGCTACAGTCGTGAGACAAGACATAAACCAAGCTAGGTCCAGACAGAGACTGAAGTTTATGGTGCGTTATCTCCCTGGTCTGGACTATAATGCACAAAATCAGTACAACTGAAAGATCATCCTGTTATTACTAATGCTAAATTACTACAGAATAAAGTGCACAGAGCTGGCCTTTGGGACAATAGGTTCATCCAACTGAAAATGCACAGATGACATTGTACACCAAAGGGGTACAAGCAAGCTTGATCAATACATGTTTACGAGGCCTTTGACTGCCTGGCCATCTGGAACTGTGACTTAGTGGTTAAGTTAGTAATCCAGTGTAACTAATGGACTGCTGTGCTTAACCCTGAAGAAGTTGCCAGTATGGTGGTCTTTTGCTGTCCTTAAATTTTTCCCTTTTCCCTTTTAACGTAGCACATGTGTATAGGGAATTATTTTTGAGAGATCCTCTGTTAAGTAAAACGATCCCTGTCAGTTTTTGTTCTCTTGCTTAAGTAAAGTGTTTATTATAAAAAAGATCTCAGGATGTGACAGATCCCGGTCAAATTGAACTCATCTTTTGTTTAGGCGTGACTGCTGTCAGCTGTTTCTCTCAACACTAGGCAGCTGTGTGGACCAGCACTGTGTTGACACAGTGGGTCATGACTTCCTGACATGAATCTCCTGTATACCTTGCAGGAGTGCAGCATGTCAGCGATGGCCCTTCTGCTAAGGTTGGCGGTGGCAATGATGTCTTCCTGACGGCAAGAATTCCCAGCAGCCACTGCCTTTGCTGTTGCCATGGTGATTCCTTTAGTCATGCGAATGAACTCCTCTGGTGTGGTGGTCTTTGGCGGTGGGTCAGAACTGCTGAATACCTGTGTGGTAAAACCAGAGCACTGGAATACTCAATAGCTACCAAACAATACCAATTCTTTCATCTGACAAGTGATCAAGTGAATTCTGTGCTGTAGGATCAGTGCTCAAAAGGAATCTTTTTTGCTGGAAGGGGTCTGCTTTCAGTTGGTAAGAGGCTACAACATCTTCTTCTGGTTGGGATAGTAGAGAGACTTCTATTTCAAATGTTGACCACAATATTGACAACAGTCTATTTAAAGAGAGTAATTACTCACAGCCAGCTCCTGTTTGATGTGTTCAATTGTGGCCTCCAAAGCTCTGGTCCCCTTTGTGGCTTCATCCTCCACTGCCTTCACCGTCTTCAGGAGGGATGTCACATTGGTCACCATCACCTACAGCAGCCAGGTTACATCATATGGTGATAGATTAGAATGATGGCTAAATGCTCACTGATGCATCTTACATTAATAAATGTCACAAAGATTATTTTTAATATACACAGCATTACCAGTGAGAGCTGCATTCAAACCTCTGTTCATACTTCAACAGATGACATAATAGTGGGATGGTATGTGTGTAGTTCCATTGATGTAAAATTTGAACTCAGAGAGCCTCGTAGACTGTGCGTTATGCTCCAATCAGACTGCTTCTCTAATGGTCAGAGAGCATCTGAAACCCTCTCCCAGTGCTTCTGACAAGTTTTATGACTTTCCAAAACCAACAATCCAACCATGCTCACTTTACAGTGACTGACCAGCTGTTTTCATTCATACCCTAGTGTGAGTGTTCCTGTAGAGGAGCAGAGCACTCTGTGCCACTTCACCTTCACATAGTGAGTCTCAAGTGACTTTGGGTTTTGGATCTCACCTTAGCAGAATTCTTGAGCTGCAGCATGCTGGGGTCGTCATGTGGTTTGCCTGCAGCTGCCTTGGTGGTGCTGATGAGGTTGCCCAGAGCTTTGGCCACATCCTTCACTGCATTGATCAGGACCACCTGTAGAGTGCAGAAGTTGTACTTGACAGTTTAATTTGATGCCATCACATAGGAAGTGACTGCACCTAGACACACAAAGCTCAGGGATGGTGTGCGTTTATGAAGATGTGCCTCAGAGGACTGAATGCTAGTGGTCTATGCCTCACTCTAATCCATTCACCATACATAACAAACGCCAGCTCCCTCCTTAGCTTAGAAGACCAGAAATAATGGTGTTTGATTTATCCTTGAAAGCTTATAAAATGAGTAATTTAAAGAAGCAGTCCATTTTTGCTTTTAAAATATTTTGTTTTTCTCATTCTTTTGCTTACTATTCATTTTCTTTATGAATGTATCCATTTGTTATTTTCACTCCAGGGTGCTGGAAAGGAGGTTCTAACCGACTGTCGAACCTCAGACTCAGGAGGAGCAATGCGGATTCCGTCCTGGCCGTGGAACAGTGGACCAGCTCTTTACCCTTGCGAGACTGCTGGAGGAGTTGTGGGAGTTTGCCCATCCAGTCTACATATGTTTTGTGGTCCTGGAGAAGGCTTACAACCGCGTCCCTCGGGGGGTCTTGTGGGGGGTCTTGTGGGGGGTACTACAGGAGTATGGGGTGCCAGGCTAACTGCTACGAGCAATCCGGTCCCAGTATGACCAAAGTGAGAGCTGTGTCCGCATACTTGGTGTAAAGTCGAACACGTTCTTGGTGGGTGTTGGCCTCCGCCGAGGTTATCCCTTGTCACCAATCCTGTTTGTGATCTTCATGGACAGGATCTCGAGGCGCAGCCGGGGGGAGGAAGGGGTCTGGTTTGGGGACCTCAGAATTGCACCTCTGCTTTTTGCAGATGATGTGGTTCTGTTGGCTCCATCACACCGTGACCTCCAGCATGCACTGGGGCGTTTTGCAGCCGAGTGTGAAGCAGTGGATGAGAGTCAGCACCTCCAAGTCTGAGTTGGGCCTGAGTCTGAGTTACTGCCTCAAGCGAGGGAGTTCAAGTATCTTGAGGTCTTGTTCACGAGTGAGGGTAGAATGGAGTGTGAGATGGATCCGCGGATCGGTGCGGCTTCTGCAGTGATGCGGGCGCTGCGCCGGTCCGTCGTGGTGAAGAGCGAGCTCAGTTGGAAAGCAAACTTTTGATTTACTGGAAAGAATGAGACTGCGGATACAAGCAGTGCAAATGAGTTTCCTCCGTGGGGTGGCTGGGCTCAGCCTTAGAGATAGGGTGAGGAGCTTGGACATCTGGAGGGAGCTTGGAATAGAGCTCCTTTGCATAGAAAGGGGTCAGTTGAGGTGGTTCGGGCATCTGACTAGGATGCCTCCTGGGCGCCTCCCGCTGGAGGTGTCCCAGGCACATTCCACTGGTAGGAGGTCCCTAGGGCAGACCCAGAACACGCTGGAGGGATTACATATCTCTATATTTTTTCACCACAATAACCAAACCAGTATTATACCTGACATCTGATTCATGAATTCATGAGCCAGCCATCTGCTTATTGGGTGATCTTTTGTGCCTGAAGATACTCTGTATCTTCAGGTTAAGGTATTTTGTAATGAACATTGAAATTCAGTACCAGAGGAATGGCTTGAGTTAAAACATGAGGCTACGAGTGCTTCAGGATTCTATTCTTGCTGACCCTACTGGGTGAAATATCCACCATAAGCCATAAATAATAGCTACTGACAGGACCTTATTGTATGTTGTGTTAGAGCTGAGATTAGAAGTTGGTTTAAATCTCCATTTTGCCGTTCAAACACTTTTTCTTCATTTAACAGTAATTGTGAGGACACAAACAACTGACAAACATGCAACATGCTGTCTGCTGTCCCTACCTGTGTCTCTGGGTCTTCAGAACCCAGGCTGGCAGCTCCCAGTTTGACCACATCAGCCAGTTTGGTGATGGTGGACACTGAAGACTGGGCAGCCTGGGCCAGTTTCTCCTGACTGGCTCCAGCACCGGACACCAGCAGCTTGGTGTCCTCCACCAGAGCCTTGGCTGTCTTCAGGATGCATTCTCTGCACACAAGAAGGTTACAGAGTCACTGTGGAGCTTTGATAATGCAAAACAAAGATGGTGCAAATATCTAATAACGAACATGAAACTGGTCCTGTTAGATAATTACAGTATTTCTGATTTTCCACATCTTTATACATATATATCAGCATTTAAAAGTGAAATATGTTTAAGCTTTAGGACACAGTCTTGATGATAGTGAGCAGTATTTACAGGTTCCAGTGCTCACTAGGGCTGAGTACTGACTTCAGTATTTAAATGGCACAAAGGAATTGATTTGGTACCATCAACCACTGAAAAAAGGCCTTGTAATTTGGTCCCAAAATTCAATCCCTAAGGAGTAAATCTAATCGGTGTCAGTGAGCCAACAAGCATGCAGCATGTTTGCACCAAGCTCTAATAACGCTGGCGTTTGGCTGTCTAATGTTAATGTTTAATGTTACGTCATTGAGGCATGCAGGGACAACACTTGGGGCTGACGGGGGCTGGTGTGTGTGTGTGGGTGTGTGTGTGTGTGTGTGTGTGTGTAATAATAATAATAATAATAATTATGATAATAAATGACCAAAAACATTGGTTGATAAAGGGAAACACTGTCTATATTACTGCATAATTAGCAACATCAAAATGAGTGTAAATACAACATAAATTCAACAGAGAGGGCTATTTGTGGGGCGTCAACAGTATGCTTACTCATACATAACTAGAATTACTGTCCCGTGTTTTATGCCTACTTGCACCCGTCAAGTTTCCCTTAAGCCCTGTTTCCACTAAACACTTTAAGTATGGTACCTTTGGAACCAAAATTAACCCTTCAGACATGGTACCTAGACCCTAGCATTTCCACCACAAACAGTACTTACTGTATTTCCTCATTACCTGTGACACAGATGGAAGTCTGCACCTCTAGGTTTGTGCATTTAGTTCTTCTCAGGCAAGCTCAGGGGTTTAATGTTGCCGGAGCCCACGAACGATGCTTTTTTCTTTTCCATGTGAGGATTAGAATATATGCAGTTCAAAAATAGGGACTGTATGGAACGGTTCCATTGAACTGAACTGAACTGTACCATACTGCTTGGTGGAAACAGGGTTTTTCATTTTACAACCATGTCTGTTAAAACATAGATGCTTCACACCCATTGTTCACCCAACAGCACAGAAGATCTATACATTGAGAACAGTTTCAAAGTGGGCACCGAAGATTGGTGTCACCAATTATGTATCTGGCCAAATGTCTCCCCTTCTGTTCCTGAGTTATGATGTTGAATAATGGCCAGAAAAGTGTTTTATGTAGAACATTATGATATCACAGTGAAGTTGACTTTGACCTTTTGGATATAAAATGTCAACATTTCATCATTTTGCCCTATTAGACATATATAGTACACATAGACTTATGGCCAAAACACATTTTTTGAGGTAACACTGACCTTGACCTTCAACCACAAAATTCTACTGTTTATTTTTCAGTCCAAGTAGATGTTTTTGCCAAATTTAAAGAAATTCCCTCAAGCTGTTTTTGAGATATTGTGTTCACGCGTATGAAATAGATGTAAGGTTACAACAATCTTGACCTTTGACCACCAAAATCTAATCAGTTCATCCTCGAATCCAAGTCAACCTTTGTGCCAAATTTGAAGAAATTCCCTCAAGGCCCTCTTAAGAAAAAGCATTTACAAGAATGAGACAAACAAGGCCACAGTGACCTTGACCTATGACCACAAAAATCTAATCAGTTCATTGTTAAGTCCAAGTGGACATCTGTGCCAAATTTGAAGAAATTTCCTTGAGGCATTCAAGACATATGTTCACAAGAATGAGACGTACATAAAGTACAACCACAGGCGACCCTCCGGTTCCCAACCCAAGTCCCTATGGACTGAGCTACTGCCGCCCCAAAATGGCTGCCAGCCGGAGTCGAATCTGCGACCGCTGCAGCGAGGCATCACCTCTGTATATTTATTATTTGATTTATATTTCCTAAATGATTGACGACCCAAATTTCTTTACTTTATCTATGATCGAGTTTCCCTTCAGAATAACTAAGTTTCTCCTGTTGTGATGATCTTTTATAGAGGGTCTCTGTAGTGATGAGCACCTGTGGTCAGCAAAGGTCTCTGCGTTCTCTCTGTTCAGAGTACCAGCAGTGGCAAACATAATGGTGGTGTCTAGGTCCGCAATGATTCCAGACACAGCACTGGCTGCTGTGATGCAGGCCTGGGTGCCACGGTTACCTGCCTGCAGGGACGCCAACACATGGGAGACCTGCAAGAAGAAGACCAACCTGTTCTGAGTGAAAGTTGGACTGTCTATGTGTATCTAGTAGTAGTAGTAGTAGTGTGTTTTAAAATAAAGCCATAAACCACTGTTAATAAGAAAAAACTCAAAAACAAAACCCTGTGAATAAGGAAAATAAAAAATAAAACTTCTAATATGACATCTGACAGTTACAATAAGTGACTGTGTATATCTGTGTAAAAATATCCAAGTTTGCTTCATTATAAGTATGAAAAAATGTCATATGGAAGCAGTAGGTGTTAGCAGTGAGTGGGGGTGAACTTTTGGCTTAGTTTGTTAAGACACCAACAATGACCAGCAGGTCCCCCACTCAAACCTCTGCTGGAGAACTTTGTTGCATCTCTTGCTTTTATGTTTCCTATCATCTCTTCACTGTTGATGTGTAATAAACACATAAAATGCCAAAAAAATGATTGAAAAAAGAAGTGAAGGGATTGGTTGTGGTCTGACCTTCTCAGAGACTTTGCGAGCGCTTTCAATCAGCTCTTTCTTGGTGAACGAGTCGTTGGGGCTGCACTGCAGAGCTCCAGCTTTGGTCACCAGACCTGTGCAGCTAAAACCCAGCTCTCCCACCTGCTTCTTAATGTGAGAACCAATCTGGAAACAAACAAAGAGATACATGTGAATAACAGCATGAAAATGGAGCTAGCATGGCCTGAAAGTGTCTCTCCGAAGATGGCATGCTGAGGTACGGTTAGTTTATTTACTTCATCATTCTCTGCAGTCATGGCTGCATATTTGGCTTCATTTGCAAGATTTCCAAACTCATTGGTCAGCTGGTTGGCCAGTCCTCCAAGGTCATCAGGGTTGGTGTTTGACTTGGTCACCTGAAGACAAGAAAGAAGATAAGAAACCACATTAGTTGAGTTATAGGCGCATCCATCTGGTTTTTACCAGGTGTTAGTTAAAAAAGTTATTTAAAAAA